AAAGACAAAGTACAGGTGAACATTATGTGAATAGATCACTGAAATAATGACCCCACCTCCTGTTCCTCAGGTAGTGCCACTTGCACAATTTAGATTCGCCGCGCAGCAACCAAATTTTGACAAGACAATCAGGGATGTGGAACATATAATATGCATATTTCCACGTGACTGTGGTGTATGTTCCTGATTTTATCTTTGACGTAGTTTTCTCCCTCTCTTGAGGAGACGTGAAGATCATAGGTGCGTGTCTCGCTTAGAAACAGCGTTAGAGAGGTATATATGTATATAGACCTACTACCCTATTACTATATAGGTCTATATACATATATGTCCTTCTAACGCTGTTTCTAAGCTGAAGCCACGCCCCTATGGATGAAAGCTAATGGCAAGGACGAAATGCCCTAAACACAATATTTTCTTTTGTTTGAGAAACTTTAACAGCAGATCCCTGGTCCAAGAAAGAAACAGCTTGAAATTTCATTTCGTATCCTTGGGTACTGAGGCGAGATTTTGCAAATGGCCGCTTTGACACAGAACGGCTCTGGGCTGACGTTTCAATACGATAACGCCAGATCACATGTTGCTCGAGTTATGCAGCAGCATTTTAATCAGAACAATGTTCATGCGTTACCCTGGCCCGCACGATTTCCAAATTTGTCTTTCACTAAACACGTCTGAGATGAAACTGAGGACGATTACGTTGTCATCCGAACCCTGAAACAACACTGCAGGAACTCTGTCAAATCCTTCCTCAGATATGGATTGATCCTACCCCGGACTTTCATCAACGTTTGAGTGGCATCAATGAGGCGAATGTGACCAGTTTGCATCAATAGGCACTCACTACTGACCGTATAAACTTGCTTGTGAAACCCTTTTGTGTTTTTGCATATACCATTATGCTTCAACGGTCTCGGTAATCTTGTCTTTCTTGCTTTTTGGAGACTTAAATAGTCAAAACCCACTGTGAGTCACAGCGTTTGGAGAAAACAAACTCCCTAGATATTTATATGAGGACACAAGATACCTCCATTGTACAACCATTTTTTTTTTTTTGCTATTCTACCACCCTTGCTGAATATCACCCTTGTCACCTTGTCACCGTTGTCCTGAGGTGCGCATTTCGTAGGAGTACCTGAATGGATTATTTTGTAAGTACTACATGGTCTACAACTAGTATAAGTAATATACAATTATTATCTATCACGACACCTAGATTTTCACATATTGATCATCCCCTGTAACCATCAGAAGGAAATATTATAGGTGACAGATTTCCAACCTGCTAAATGCCATGGAACGACAGAAAATCTTTCCATGAATACCATCTAAATTCTTTACTACCGCTATACATATGATATTACATGATATGATATTAGTAACATCAATAGTTTTGGACACCCATATTATCAAGCTTTCACCATAATGCCCCAACCCCCGCTGATATCATCGAAAACCTTGTGCATATCAATAGCAAGTACTTCAATAAATATAGGCAATTTATTTTTGAGCCTTTCTGGCATGACAAATATGACGCTTGGGAAATAACCTGTTGATAATATGCAATTACGTAGCACTAATGAAAAAGAAACCAATACCATTAGTAAGAGTGAGTGAGTTTAGTTTTACGCCGCACTCAGCAATAGTCCAGCTATATGGCGGCGGTCTGTAAATAATCGAGTCTAGACCAGACAATCCAGTGATCAACAGAAGAGCATCGATCTGCGCAATTGGGATACGATGACATGTGTCAACCAATTCAGCTAGCGTGACCACCCGATCCCGTTAGTCGCCTTTTACGACAAGCACGGCTTACTGATGATCAATTCTAACCCGGATCACCCCTTCACGGGTACCATTAGTAAGAAACCATTAATGACATTATTGTACCCAGGGTGCCGTTCAACTAACCGATCTTATCTAAGATCAATTTTAGCAAGTTACGCCAATTTTTACAATCGTCTTAGCTAAAAGTTACACCCGTTCCACTAACCGATCTTAGGCCGATCGTAGTCGGTCCTGATCTTACCGATCCGATCCAAGCTTACATCGAGACTCTTTCGTGCGAGAGGCACATTGTTTTAAGGAATGGAGAGTTACGAGGATATTACCCTACTTAAATTACATTCAAAGTATTGGGAATATTTCTGTTATCAAAGTTATATGTCAAAATGACAAAATGAAGTCTTTAATTTGAAGTTGGTACACATCGCTCCATTCCTGAAAAGTAATGGAGCGAGCAGACAATGGAATGACGTCACAAAATGTAATTTAATCTTGAATCACAAGCGGCTTTGCCTTTAGAATCCCCACCAAATATGCGCAGTGAAATCAAACATATTTTGTATCTTTTTACTTCAGAACATTGTTCACTTCACGGCTGTTGTTATTCTTAACCATGACGTTGCAATATTGTTGTACAAATGTGTCACACCGACTCGCTCGGTTGTGTTCCCATGACGACAGTGGTCAGACTGGCCTGACATTTGTAAGGCTTCCGTGCAATATTTGTTTACATCACAGAAATATATAAATTCATTTCATGGGGATTTTAGGGACGCTCACGGTGAAATGCTCGCTCTTATTTTTCACATAGAATAGGAAAGGCACCATTTTGGTTTCTCTACGATTGATTTTAGCTATCCTAAGTTGGTCATGAGCAACTTAGACTTTGAATCTTAACTTTACGATTGACTTAGGTAAGAGACCGCCTCCGTGGTGAAGTGGTCAGAGCGTCCGCCCGGTGAGTGGAAGGTCGCGGGTCTGATCCCCGACCGCGTCATACCAAAAGACGTTAAAATATGGTACTTGTTGGTCCCTGCCCGCTCGCATTAATGGGTACAATAAGGACTGGTCGGCTCGGAGTCAGTATAATGTGTCTGAGTGGGTATTCATGTTTCACTGCGGCATGGTATCTCAGTGGGCTAGCACTATAAAACCAGCTTTAAGTCTGGGCTAGTACAAGCAGCCGCACATACACATACACACGCATGCATCGTCGTCATATGAGCGAAATATTCTCAAGCACGACGTAAAACCCAATTTCACCTCATCTCACCTGCATCTGTTATATCAAGCTTCGGGTTTGCTAAATCACAGAAATATTCCACAAGATCACAATTTCCAGATTAGCTTTTCGAATGTTTTTTTCAGAATGCTTTGTATTTGTTTTGCTCAGTGTCACTAACTCCTCAGCGAGTAATCTTTCGATTTTCTGCTTTATGACAGTCAACCATAGAACATCAGCGCTGCTTATCGCCCAAAACGCCTTTCTCTTTAACTGTGAACTGAGACTGTGACATACATGTTCCTTGTATCAACCGTATGTAGTTCGCGCAGGTTTCTGGTGAGTCATATATCTTACGTAGTTTTAGTGTTAGCCACATAAACCAATAGTATGTGCCTTTCCTGCTATTCAAGAATGGATGTGAAATGTGTCTGGTTGACCCAAAATGCTATACAGAGTTCAGATTATATCTTGGAGAATCCGGAGCGCTTCAATACATTACTGTTTCTCAGCTTCGATCCATTTATATTCCCTTTGTATATTGACACTTATGTGATCAAGAACTGCATGATTAGAAAAGATTCTGTCATGTTACTCACAGAAAATAACCCATAACAGAGCCATGCTCATAATCGGAGAGTAAATCGCACTTTGTATTTTCTCATTACAAAAGTAGGTTTTCCACGTTTTTGTTGTTATCAGCTGTTCCATTCAACAATTTTCCCTGTAGGTGACGACTTTGTCAGAGAACACCGTGCTACCTAACATATTGGTTAGAACAAGATAAGATGTTCGAGGCACCCATCAGCAGTTAATAGTGTTTTGCGATTTACGTTTAAGTCAAACGATCGTATAAAAACTTAAACCACGTGGAACCATTATCTGAGTTGCGTTAAGCGCCTGTACAGTTCAGTTATATTGTCATATAGCTACATACATGTTAGGTAATATACTCAATTGAAAATCGAACACATGATGAAATCATCTCAGAAGTAATGTTTCTGATGTTATTCATTTTAAATAAACCGTATCAGTTTGAGGGCTTATCAGTATATGGATATTTAAATAAAACTTTAATGAAAATTAATATATCTAATAGCTTCTAATGCTAACTATCACTATAAAATGTCATGAATGATCACCAGTACACAGTGTGGATAGTCATACCATAAAACGTGAAGAAGGGAATCAGTAATTGTTGTATTGTATTTTTTGCCTGAATAATTAGAGGATGTTGTTGATTTCATTATATGAAATGAATTGCATTGTTGCAAATATATTTTAAAAATGCGTTTCCCTTTGCAAGTACCAACGTTGAGCTGGGTTTTTTTACCTCACCCAAACGACGTTTTCCAGTGGGTAGAAATGATATTCTCGGACGTTTAACATCGGTCTAAGTCTCACGTCATATAAATACCTTTACATTATCCTTTCCCAAAACGCCATTAATAATCGGATATTTAATGCACTGCGTTGATGAAATCTAGGTTAACAAATGCACAGCCTTTACGGGTAAAGTGGATACCCCAAGTCGTTTCTCATTTGAAAGGTCTGTCAGATGGGACTGGGATGATACGTATATTTCTTATCACAATTAAATTTAAGAAAACTGGTCTTTTCGTGCCGAGTTACATACTATACTTGTATATAACCCCATCTCACCTTCCATATTATTAAGATGTGACTGGGCAGAGAAATACAGAGTGACATGGAGGACTACTGTAACAAAATCTGATGAAGCGGATATTTTTCATTCTGCTTGGTGTCGGGATGATTGCTATTATTCAGATGAGCTCACATGTTGATTTCTTCTTTCACGGATACCATTCCAACATTTCAAACTGGTTACTGAACGGAATAGGTCGCCTACAACACCAAACAGCTGATTGGCAAACACGGGGCACAAACGGTATTTACTGTAAGAAGCTTGTGGCTGGTGATGCTGACGAAATAAAAAAGCAAACGCAATTATGACCAAGGAGTTTCGTTCAAGCTTATTTACCTGAAATTTACCCTGCCCTGACAAATGATTGTGAACAGTATAAGAGAACACGGGGTTTCATAAACAGCACCATGACGCCCGGAGAAAGGCAGTTTCCAATTGCCTTCAGTATTCTGGTGTATAAACATGCAGAACAAGTGGAGAGGCTGCTGCGAGCAGTATGGCGACCCCATAACGTATACTGTATACATGTAGACTCGAAATCTAGTAACATGTTCAAAGCTGCAATAAACTCAATAAGAAAATGCTTTGACAATATCTTATTTCCCCCTAAGCAAGTCAGTGTCCGGTGGGGAACATATACAGTGCTGGAACCAGAGCTACTTTGTATGGAAGCTTTGTGGAAACATAAAACTCTTTGGAAATATTTCATCAACCTAACAGGCCAGGAATTTCCATTGAAAACTAACTATGAATTATACAGGGCACTGGAAGCTTATAATGGCACCAACGATATCAACGGAGGTTATAAAGGGTAAGTCAATTTTTTCCCCTGTCTTTTTATTCCAGTACTACCCTTCAGGCCTGGTACAAAGTCAGAAAACAATAATGGCATACAATCATACAATATTTCTGAACACAAAAACATGGAGGATACAAATACCATTTTTTTACCTGCATAATTAGTCTTCATTAAATTTAAATTTACAGGCATTACGATATGTTATATTGCGGTAGATATGTTGTCTTTAAATCAGTGTAGTAAGGACTAAAATCTCAAACTGAGACCCATCTTTAATTACATGTAATGTACAAAATGTAAACAATCTGCTTTATCTTTGAATACTATAATTATAAAATTACCTTGAGCAAGTAGACGTTTGTTACAAAATTATATCATTAAAACCGCATTGATTAAGTAGGTTAAAGGTAAAACAAGTATTTTGAAATATTTATTTAAGCTGAACCCACAATGTCAGGCTGACTTTCGGGCTGGATATTTAACTGTTGACAGTGTCTTTATCCTACAGTCACTAATCCAGAAACATCTGGCAAAGTCAAACTGTCGATTCTATTGCTTATTTTACGGTTTCCATAAACCATTGGATTGTGTAAATAGAGTTTCTTGCTCAAAATAATATTCGTGGTAAAATGCTTTCGATAGTGCGTGATATGTATAAAACCAATTTCAGCTGTAAAATTATTTAACAAAAGTTTTAACTCCCCAAGGGGAGTTTGACAAGGTTGTATCCTAAATCCATAGTATTCAGTATATTTGTATATCAAGTTCGAAGAAGATTTACTGTTGTATGATTGAAGACGTATTCTTATTGGAGCAGACCTTTTTGAGTTGTTTTTACGCCCTTTTGCTGACGATTCTGTCATCTAATGCGGTTATAGGTTTACAGAAGTAAATATATGAATTATCAAACATTTGTACAAAATGGGGATTAAAGGTAAATTTTACAAAAAAAAACAGAGATACTTGTTTTCTGCAATAGGGGTATAAATGAAGAAGACTGAAATATGGATATTAAATCGTCTGTGATTATACACTTCAACCTACCTTAGCTATATATTTAGGTATTTTATTTTCAAATAAACTGTCCAATTACCCTTTATAAACTGTTCAGAAAACACCAATCATTGTCCACTGCTCCTGATGACGATGACATAATAGGACATTTATATAGCGTACATATCCACGCAACCAGTACATGTTCAAGGCGCTTGAGTGTTCCCTTGATCAACGGATGTCTCTTTTCCTGGCATTCTTATAACCAATTCAACTCCCCTGGTTATTATTCAACTCATGCAGCCTGCTAGGCGCAGCGGGTTATCACACAGTCTCATCCTCACAAGGTACCCATGTGCAGCTGGGTGAACTGGGACACATAGTCACATTATTTTGTCCAATGATACTGCACGTTAAGTACTATACCCGCAACTTGGTGTCAGAGATATGGGGTTACCATCAATGGGTAACCTTAGAAAGATTCCATATACAATTTAGTAAATAATTCCGGGGTGTTGGTGTTCATACCAGAAATGTTGCTGCCTTGACTGAATGTAGTCGTTATAATATCTACCCTGATTCAATTCTAAGATGAACTAACTATTGGTGGTAAATTATTCAGTATGGAAGAAAATAGATACCCTAAACAATGTTACCTTGGGCTAAAAAGAATGGACGAAATTAGACAATAGTTAAAAGATTAATCTGCATCTATGGTTATAATTATGCCTGGATTTTCCAAAATGTTGTAAAGACTGATTGCTTTATTTGACAATTCTCGTAAAGGGTTAAATAATGTTAATAATTAGTAGTCTATTCATCCTTGTTAAATGACCACAATACTTTAGACTTCTACTCTGTCAATAAATGAACTTTTAAAATGGAATCATACCTGTTGACCTGGCTACCTGTAGTCACGGGTACATCTAAGTACATCTAAGTAATGATTAGTAGCACAGCTGCATAACCTGTAGCACGTTTTTATATCGTATTGTCTTCCACAGTTAACATAGTTTAGGTTTTCATACTAGGTTTACAATTATATTTGTGATATTCTAGTTCTTTTTACTTTCCTTCACCGACAGGTTTTCATAATTAACCTGATAACTTGTGTTATGGTTTGAAAATTGCCCACGTGACTTAAAATCTTAACTCACTCACTCTTTGTGTCAAACGCACGTAAAATGAAAAGGGTAACCCCGTATGGTGTTCCTAGAGTCTGAGAGTTTGCCACCAATACACCCAGACCCTTCAACATCAGACTCAAAGAACATCCGACATTTAGATTCTTGAGAGGCATTTAGAAGTTGGTGAATATGAACTTTAACTTTGGCTACTTCTAGGCTACTTCTTGCCCCTTCTTCAGGTGATGGAAGAATCAAACACCTGAAGAAGGGACAAGAAGTAGGACAGAAACGTTGTGTTATACAATTAACAAGAAGTTGCCATCCATATACAGTGATGTGCCATAATTATGTCATAAAATGGCCGCCATGCAGCAGTGAGTAATACGTGGGGGTCAAGTTAAAATGCTTGGTGCGCTCAAGCAACAAAATGATGGGGGATCAAATTTCACGTCGTCTGCTTCATGTAAACAAGTTCAAGGTCAAATTCTCAAAATGGGGTAGAGAAGTAAAAGCTTGTCAGAGGAGGTCAGGAAAATCATTCTTGAGATGAATTTAGTTGGATTTAAACAGGCAGACATTGTAGATGCTGTCCAGAGGGATCAAAGCACCATTTCCAAAGTTTAAAGAGAGTTCAAATGGAAAATAATGATGAGAACATGCCCAGACGTGGTAGGCCTCCAGTTTTGGCAGAGAGCGGAGACAGGACACTTTTGAAAACTGTCAAAAACAACAGAAGAAGATCACTTGGGGATATTACATGTATTGTAAATGAGGCATTACCAACTAAAGTAAGTAAGAGGACTGTTCAAAGACATCTCCACAAGCTGAATTACAGGAAAATATTAGTGAGGAAGAAATTGACAGTAAGTGCTATAAACAGATACAAGAGAATGTCATGGTGTAGGACACATTTTCATTGGAAAACTCAAACTAATTGGTCAAAAATGATATTTGGTGATAAGAGTCCAATTGTTCTTGGGAAAAATAACAACATTTCTGTTTGGAGAATGTCTGGTGAGGAGTACAGACCATATTGTGTTGGCAGCAGGTGCCCTGATTTTCAGCAAAGGGGAGGACTGTCTGTGATGATTTGGGGGTGCATTTCCTACCATGGAGCTGGTACACTGGTCCAAGTTGATGGTCATATTAACAGTGAGAAGTATGCATCTATTTTGGACGAAAATCTGTTTCCTGTCATTGCCAAACACTTCACAAATGGTGATTATCTTTTCCAAGATGACAATGCCCCATGCCATGAGTCTCGTTTTACAAAAGATTGGAAAACTACGAATGAAATCAAATGTTTATCACGGCCATCACAATCACCAGACTTGAACATCATTGAAAATCTCTGGTTGCTGATCAAAATCAGGCTACAGAGAGTTTCACGCACCATCAAATCAAAGGGGGACTTTTTCATCAGATTATCAGGATTTGGCAGTCAATACTTTTGCATCATATTCAGGCGCTATACTCATCTGTTCCAAGAAGAATAAGAGCTGTGAGAATAAATAAAGGTCACATCACAAAGTATTAGTCATCCAAAGTTTATTTTAGGGGTAAGTAAGCTTTAATTTCTACTTTACTCAGTGACCCTCTATAAGTTTTGCCCCTAAACATGGCGGCCGTTTTATGGCATAATTATGGCTCATCACTGTACTCGTCTTACATATCCGACATTTATCAACAAACAACATCAGAAAACTGCCATTTCTGAACACGTCAGCCAGGAGCCAGACCACACCATCATGTGATAAGCTAGAATGTACGAAACTGGCACTAGTGCAAGGCACACTACCAGTACACGTTTGTACAACTAATTCAAAGGTTTTCCTCAGATGCAAAATTGTGGCCTTGACCAAAACCGTTCCTGTCCACCATGTGGTCTGTGAAAGTTTACCAGTAATCGAGTAAATACAATTAAGTCATATGCTTGATGGACATTTAGAAGTTGGAAGGTAAAATAACAACATATCGTATCCACCGATGTCTTTCACTTGATGTTTACAGTGCTATATGTACTCATATGAAAGAGCACAAAGCATCTGGCAACTAGACATTATTGAGAAGTTAAAGATTGTTGTTTTGTTTTCACATAACCAGAAATTATTAGAAACATTTAAAGATTGTATTTTTAGTATTTTTTCATTCACTACTCAGCAGTGCAGGCTTAAATGTGAATATGCTAGATCAGAACATTAACTCCATGCTGTCCCAATCGGACCACCTTTCTTTCATTTCACATATGTCAGATTTTTCTTATTGAAACTTTCATAAGTCCCCAAACATTTTCTGTTGAAAGGTCAGGGCTATAGCTTGAATCTAATATGTTATTTTGGGTCGTTGTCTTTGAATGCTTTGAAAATCCCTGCTGGAAAATCCATAGAACACGTGAGCAGATTGAAGTAAATGTCCTCGAGAATGTCCCTGTTCATATTCCCTTCAAATACACAGTGGGGGTTGCCCCTAACACAGATATGCCATCCCACACGTTAAATTTCAGACGGTACTTTGGGCGCTGATACAAAGGTTTTTCAGTTTTTTGGTCCAGAATTTCATTGTATTAGGAAACAGCCACACAGAACTTTCATCTGAGAAAATCACATTGTCCCAGTTAAAATGTCTATGCTTTAAGCACCAGTTCAACCTTCGCTCCTTTTGTTCAGTTCAGGTTTTCGACTTTTTGCCAACCCATTGCATGCAGCTCAGTTCTAATTGTCTCCTTACACAGCCACAGTTCCTCTATCAATCATATCCAGACTTACGTTTTCTAAACTCCTTCGTTTGTTTTAGAAACAAGAATACCAAGCCGCCTCCTTGTCACCGACAGTCAATTTTCTGGGCCTACCTGCGCCTCCCTGGTGCTCAATGCCATATATATTTGCAATATTTTTTCAAAACACGATAAACAGTGGACAAAGGGATGCCTGTTCTACTTGAAATCACTTTTAGCTGATCTGATGTCCTTGTTATAATACTCTAAAATCAACTTTCTCTTCTCTAAATCATCCATACTGAGGATCACTGAAAATGTCGTCTGCTAGCAAGTAAACAAAGGGGGATAACTCTTCACAAACTAATGAAAAAGGATTAACGGAGTAGTCTCTCTTGAATGAAACTAAGTACTTGATAGCTGGTCAAGGTTGTGTATACTAGAAATCCAATTAAACATATTCCTAAAATTCTCAATAATTTCTGGTCATACCATATGCTGCTCGTAATTATATTCTGTCATTCACCTGATGAAGGGGCAAGAAGTAGTCGTGTTGTAAATATTTAAGAAGTTGTAAATCCATATCATACGTTGTTACATTTAAGCCCCTTATTTTACAGGGCTAATCTTGAGAGATGGAAGGGCCGTGGAGACCCTCCGCACAAAATCCGACCACGAAAAGGGGGCGTTCACATCGCTGCCACCCGAGGGTATGTCGACTACCTACTCCACAACAATGTGTCACGTGACTTATTGGAGTGGGTCAAGAAGACAAGTGTCCCTGATGAAACCTACTTCGCCACCCTAAACTACAACCCACACCTCAAAGTCCCGGGGTCTTATAAAGGTACGTCTATATGTTTGTGAATGTCTCAAATGCCTAACGGCGTCTTCATATCTTTTTTAACCGTGTTTGGCAGCCTGACTCCTGAGATAGTCTTCAGTCAGTCCTGCTCCACAACGAAGCACATGTGATACATGTGGTCTCACATGCCTAAACTTGCCTCTGTTCACCCAGCAGAAAATGGGTACCTGGTTGGATAAGTCATGTGACAATTTAACCTTCTAGCCCCTATCAGGCAACTTGGTTTATACGGGGTTCAGACTGTAGCGCTTTGTGCGTGGCCCTCCGTGGTGCGGAATTCAGCGCATTACAAATGTCTTTATTATGTATTATTATTCTCTTACACTTTCTGGATTTCAAGGATGTAAAAGGATTAAACAGCCATTCAACATATAGTTTTTCTTGCAGTTACATACACTTCTCATTTTAACGTGGCTTTTCGTTAAGCTATAAATGTAAAAAAAAAACAAATTAGAGGGTAATTTGGGTCCATATAGTAGTATCCCCTCCACGCACACTCTTCTAAAAAATATATGTTAATTAACGTATTTGCAGGAAGTAATAAGGTTATTACTGAATATGTGAAACATACGATTCCAAAATTCTCCATAATTGTTTCCTGTTCCTTGACTGTCTTTTTGTGAAGCTGTCTGTGTGTCTGTATTCTGACTTGTGTATTTGCACATGCAGGAGATGTGGACGATGGGCTCCACCACGCGATGGTCCGCTACAAGATCTGGGGCGAACGTACTAAATGTTCCGGGAAGTTTACTCGCAACATATGTATCTTTTCTGTAGGGGACCTAGTGCGAATGACGTCCTCTCCCTTCTTATTTGCAAATAAATTCTTCTACGACTATCACCACCTTGCTTACGACTGCCTTGAGGCCTGGCATCAGAACAAGGTCGCACAAGAGCTGCAAAGACGTCTTGACTTCAACACAACAGTCTAAAGCAACAGATGGGTGGTCAAACATCACTTCTAGACAATTGCTAGAATGGTTGAAAGCTGTTAACCTGAGGTACTTGGCAACAGAAAGGAAGTACTTTGGTGTCATTACAATCTGACAATGATAAACACGTGATTCTTATTTTGTCGTCAATGCACTATGGACAAAGTGTCAAGCAAAACGTTTCTTATGATTATAAAACAATTGCAAATGTTTTGAAGGTTTTGTGAATGTAGACTGTATACCTCTTATTCAAATTTGGATTGATTTCAAAGGTCGCTCCATATTATAATAAGAGTTATCTCATCTACAGTGCGACCCCATATACATCAACACAGGAGGTGAATCTAATCTATGTATCAGTAAATGTATTGCCGGGTACGGAGGATGCAGTTGCGTGCTGCGTGTGAGGTGTACGTATGACGCTGAACATCGTGAAGAAGAGCAGCTAACCGAGTTGATTTTTATTTCGCTCTGGGGAAACAATAAGAGAGACGTGGAAGGAGGACAAACATAATTTTGTGTGGAATTTTATTGGAAAGTGAATCTTAAGACTCATGTGAACATACGACTTTAGAAACACAAACTGGTGCCAGGTCGACTAATTATATGAAACCATTATGTCCTAGGGAGATTGCACGTACACAGAATTGGTAAAGGGTCTCTGATAAACCCTGCCCTGTAATAGCAAAACTAATGCACAGTAAGGATAAGATGAAGGTGATAAGTTTGAGAGAAACCTTAAAACCAAAGGTTGTGCGATAACCAACAACCTAATATAGAAAAAAAAAGTCAAGAAATCAAGAAGTGCCAATCTATGGATCCATCTCAAGGTGAAAAGACCATCTGAACATATATTTTTTCTAAAACTAGGAAACTGTCGTATGCTCCTAAAGGTGTTATGCGCGTTTCACTCACTGCTGCATCTACTTGTGGTGACTTTACGTGCGTTTCACTCCTCCAAGTTTGAGATGTGTTTTATTTTTCAACGAGACAAAAATAAGGACACATCCTTAGTTGATATATCATTAGAACCCTTATTTAAAGTTTCTATAAAGGGCTTTGGCGACTTTGTTTTTAACAATATATTTTAACAATATTGACGAAAGTATAAACATTATCACAGAAGCTCATATTTTGCTCGGGAAAGCACGAGAAAGGGAAGTAAAATCCTTTAGCAATGGGTTGGATGGGAATGGGAAACTTTACTAAACTATTCACACACAATGATGGTCTTCTGTTGACTTGAAACAACAAAAGCCAATGCTCCTTAGTCGGAGGTATCTGTTAACAACCATGTTGATCCTCTGGATTTGAATAGTAATATCCCCGCTTCCATTTTCAATCCTTTGACCGCCACCGTGAAGTCGATCGTCATCCCACTGTTGGTAGGCCCTCATGCCTTGACTTTATATCTGATCAGGTACACCCTCGATAATCACTTCTACTATCAGTTAATTGATACTTTTCAAATGTATTGTAATTAGTAAATGATTTTGATTTGGTAGAAGGAATAAATAACTATGATTGTTAGTGGCTGTACCTTCAAAGGGGGTTGAAGTAGCGTAAAATAAATGTCCCCTGAGAGGGTACGTAAGTCCCTTTTCATTCAAAGTATTTTTCTTTTCTGAATTTAAAAGTAGCATATTTGTTCATTTAATGTATGGCTATTTTGCTAAACTATCACCAACACCTGAAGGTATGATGTAAATCCAGCTAGGGTACATGCAGGTACCAAAAGTAATGTAAGTCCTCATGGGTCCTAGTATAGTGATCTACCTTCAGTTGCTGGTGATCCATAGCCTGTTTTATAATTACATGCTAGTTTTACCTTCTCTGTGATACTCTAGTATTTTTTACTGTTCATTTTCAACAGGTTTTAATTTCTAAATTTAGTGATGTTTACAATGATAATTGATTGTTCTCGCCACGGTTTGGCTGAAATATTGCCGATATGACGATAAATATTAACTCACTCACTCACTTCTACTATCTTTATCAAGGGTTCCAATACGACTCGTTGTCTTTTTCGAAATGACGTAAATTCTTCTCCCGAAAAAATCAAAATACCTTTCAAAGATGTAGCAGGCACATTTAAATTGATATTCCACAGAGTATCACTGTCATCTTTGATGATCTGCTTGCTTATCAGTACTAACAGAAAATGGTCACAGAAAAACTGGGTTCACATTGTGTCATTCACCTGTGCTGAAGCCTTTGAAATCAAGGTTCATACCAACGAGGGTCTGTCTCAGCAAAACGCACACCCTCACACCCACCCCCGTCTCTCTACCCCCTTTTTTTTCAATATTCGTGGACCCGCCTATGCTTACACAGAGTGTTGTTATACACAGTGTTGTCTTGTTACACATCGTGCATACAATGTTCTTGGGTTAACCTTCCATATTCCATAGAATCAAGCAGGTAATCAATATCATAAATCATAGATCTGTTTATAGTGCAAAACAAACATTATACAAAATTGACCATGATTAAATATAGGGATTAGAATGTAGTTGTATGGCATTTCACCAATAAGGAGAACAAGATATCAAGAAGACGCCCCCTTCCTTTGAAGTGTTTTTTCGGAAAAGGTTAGCACATATTTCCCGACCTTTAGTACCTGCTACAAACACATGCAAAATCAAGTCACCAGAAAAAACGGGAGCTTATGGAACAAACAAAACATATGTCACTTCATTCTCTACTTCTGTGTTAGTCAGAAAATAAACATTTATCCTGCACGAGACCCAAACAAATGCCATATAAAAGGCAACTGCACGTTGAATATTTGATTTTACAACAGTTGTCTAATGTGGGAGACATTCATAAATATATGTATGGTCTTTTATACCTGTTAGCATTAGACTTTTTAAAATGAATGTTAGACCCAGCCACAATTTTATTATGTATTTGACTACTAGTCTCTTACAGTATACACTGGTTATCCTTCTCATCCTGTTTATTTGTGTGTTTAAGGTGATCGTTGTCCTTTGCTTAATTTGTTTTAACCATGCTGTATGTCTCACTGTTGTAAAAGGAATTCCTTTGTCGGGCAATAAAGTATTATTATTATTATTATTATCAGCTCTTCCATTTAACCATTTACCTTGTAGGCAACGACTTTGTCAGAAAACACCTGACTGACTGAGTTTGGTTTGACGCCGCTTTTAGCAATCTTCCAGCAACATCAGAAATGGGCTTCACACATTGTACATATGTGGGGATTCGAACCCGGTCTTCGGCGTGACGAGCCAACGCTTTAACCACTAGGCTACCCCACCGCCCCTGCTGTGGGTAGGTGGGTTGAGCCTAGAACAAGATAAGATGTTCGAGGCACCCATCAGCAGTTTGTGTTTTGCGATGTATGTTTAAGTCAAACGGTATTATAAAACTAAAACCACGTGGAACCATCTGAGTTGCGTTCAGCGCCTCTACAGTTCTGTTATATTGAGATACCGCTAACGTACACAAAATATTCAACTGAAAATCGAACACATGATGTTGTTCTGTTGTTGTCTGTTGTTCTTCATTTTAAATAAACCGTGTCAGTTTGAGAGTGTATTATTACATGGATATTTCAATAAAACATCCATGAACACAAACGGTGAATTGTTGGAAATATAATTTTAAAGGGCAGTTTATTATTACTTGTTGGTACTTAAGTACGCCGCTTAACTTAAGTACCAACTTGCACATATATACCGCAAAAAAAAAAAAGGCCACGTGATAGATGGTTTTGTTTAACAGCACACACTTTAATTTGCTCTAATTAAGGAAATATAATTTTAAAGGGCAGTTTACCATTACTTGTTGGTACTTAAGTACGCCTCTTAACCTAAGTACCAACTTGCACATATATACCGCAAAAGATAAAAAGGCCACGTGATAGATGGTTTTGTTTAACAGCACACACTTTAATTCGCTCTAATTAACAATCAAAAGGCATGGGGATTGAGTTCAAACTTGACAGACTGCGGCATAAGGACACTCTTGGAAATCACATTTAGAGTTCACACAAACACAATCACCAAAATGGTACCATTAGGATACTTTAAAGTCAGTATCGTGTGTAACGGCCATGGGCATCGATGACGGCGTTGCATCGTCTGTACATGGCTTGAATTAGCCGGTTGATGAAGGCCATAGGCACTTGAGTCCATACTCTGCGTAATGCCTGATCGGGCCCAGCCGCAGTTGTCGGCCTTGATTCAGTCTTATTTGAATCTAGTGACTTTGGAAATCACATCTAGAGTTCACATAAACACAATCACCAAAATGGTACCATTAGGATACTTTAAAGTCAGTATCGTGTGTAATGTCCATGGGCATCGATGGCGGCGTTGCGTCGTCTGTACATGGATTGAATTAGTCGGTTGATAGGCCATAGGCACTTGGGTCCATACTCTGGGAAATGCCTGATCGAGTCCAGCCGCAGTTGTCGGCCTTGGTTGGAGGTCATTCAGTATTCTTTGAATCTCGTCCCAAAGGTGTTCTATTGGACTTAAATCTGACTGTGTGCAAGTACTTTTAGGGGTTGGATGCCATGTTGTCTTAGGAAGTCCAATGTTGCTCTGGCAGTGTGGGCACGAGCGTTGTCTTGTTGGAAGATGTGATTTCTACGACGTCCAAAATGTGGTACAACGTGGGGTCGTATGACTTGGTCAATACAACGAGTAGCTAGACCAAGATTCGCGAACACCACAGTGCCAACTCTGTGGTTCAGACCAATTGCAGTCGGTTTGGGCGGTGACAAGCGGTGAGAGCAGGACCACGATATTGTCTGTGGCATCAGAGGTTTCTTCCACGCAAACGTCGAAGCACTGTATCGGCACTAGTAAGTCTCAATATTAGTCTGGCGTGTTGTTTCCGTCGCTCTGGTGAAGCAATCCTGCAGATGGTTGCTCACAATCTGTCGGTCTTAACGTTGCCATGTTATTGAAGGTCGTCCACTGCGTGGACGGTCTTGGATGCTGAAAGAGGCCTTATACCACTCCTGCAGTCAGTAGATTGTGCAAATGAGATGAAATGAAACAAAATTGATTCTTTATAACGATATGTCGGTGCAAAATAAGAAAGTAATAATAATTTCGTTAATTTAACTTTCATTGTAACAAGTCATTTATCACCCTTTCACGCAGAAGATTCAGTGTAATGAGGTCTTTTAGAGGTTTCATCATAGCTATTTATAGACAGTGAACGTAGCCGGCGTCTGTACTACAGCTGAGTATGTTGGCACCGAGGTGTCACATATCCATTTAACATCACTTTCGTAGTGCAGTGCAAGTAGAGTAACATCGATTTGACATACACTTGCTGCTTTCAGAAGAGAGTTTGAGAATATTTGATGAATCAAAGGATTTTGAGAGAGCAATATTATTTGAAGCTCAAAAGAACTGCCGTGACAAGCATGGTGCTCATTTCTGCATATGTGTGCATTAGGAGAGGTGCTGAAGGAGTACTGTGAGATTGTGTATATACCCTGATGTCCAATATGCAATGAGGTCAGTTTTGAATGGACTCGAGACAGCATGGTTGACAGCAGACAGCCAAATCATTTTGTACCCTTGTTCATATGCTTACAATTGCAAGTACAAGATAAACGCAGCGGTAAAGTAGATGAACAACATGTTGAGGACAAGAGAAAGAAAGCATTTTTGACACTTTTCAACGAGGTGTCAAGAAACATTCAACTGCTCAGCAAGGAAAAGATAGTAAAATGAATCAATGAATGAAAACACATGTACACCATCTGTTTCTGATTTCAGTGTCAGTGAACACTCAAGGGAATCAATCAAAAGTGACGAATTTAAAAGTCCGAGCATGTTGATGGAAAGGAAACAAACATTCCAGATGTTGGTAACCAACCACAAAAACTATTTCCTAAACGTAAGATTGGTACTCACAAGTGAACATGCCAGACTGGGTGGTTCCATACATGGAAGTGGCTTCATTATCATGAACACTCAGATAGTGTCTTTTGTTTCCATTTGCATAAAAGCAATCAAAGAAAATATACCTCTAACCCGTGCACAGAGAAAGCTTTCATTTTGACGGATACTGGAAGAAGGCTACTGAGAAATTTGAGAAACATGAAAAGAGTAAAAGTCATCAAGAAGCAGTTGAAAGAGTAATTGTATTGCCTCTGCATACAAGAAACATTGGTGACTTGCTGTCAACAGAGTTTGATGAAACTAGAAAGGAGAACAGACAATGTCTTCTAAAAATCCTGTCATATCTATAGTTTCTTGCTCGTCAAGGGCTAGCTCTCAGAGGTGACAAAACTGAGACTGATTCAAACTTTCTTCAGTTACTTGTCTTCCAAGCCAAAGATGAGCCTATTCTGAGTAATTGGTTGAAAAGGAAAACAGATAGGTATACTTCGCCTGAGATACAGAATCTCCTTCTTGATATTATGGCAAAACAGTCTTGCGAGAGGTGATACGACCTGTCAAGAAAGTACTTTCTTTCAGTAATGGCAGATGAATGTGCTGATGTGTTTAATAAAGAGCAACTTGTAGTCCGCATCAGATGCATTGATGAGAAATTGGGACATGAAGAATTTGTTGGATTCTACGAGGTTGCAAACATTGAAGCTAAAACCATATCCATCCATTACCTGTCCAATCATCACTCCCAGATTAAACGCGCCATAATATCAACTCTAACACGAAGAGCCAAATCTATCTGTGACCCCGTCAAACTACGCGCTGAGATACATCACCTCAAGAGAACTTTCATCACCGGCTATCTCAATAACCTTGTTGAGCAGACCATAGCTAAAACTCTCAACCAGCAGAACCAACGCCGACCCAAAATGAACCATCGCCAATCAGGATCCAAGGCCAGATTAGTCATCACATCAGCCGGCTTCTCAGAAAAACTACAAGCATAGACGTGACATTTTATTCTGACAAAACTTTGAAGACCATCCTAAAGGCAAATGGACGAGGTACCAGCAACCAGACTACGCACAAAACCCCGAGGCTGCATATACCAACCAAACTGCAACTGTGGCAGTAGCTACATTGAGAGAGACATCACGCCCCTTTGATATACGCCTCAAAGAATACAAAACATCTGTTGAAAAAAGCCGACAGCAAATCAGTCCTTTCGAGCATATAAATAACAACCCCACCCACTCCATTGACTGGCAACAGACTAGCATCTTGGCTACCAATGTTCACGACTGGCGCAAACGGAAAATACTAGAAGCAATCAACATCAGGAGATTAACCCCAGAGATTAATAGAGATCAAGGTGTATACCTCCCTAATGCCTGGAACATCACAAAAGCCGCCTCTATTGTCATTTAATTAGCTGTATATCACTGCTTGTGTACACATCTCCTTATCAACATTATTTTATAACTTCTAATTGATCTGTCGTCATTGATTGGTTGTATATAGATGTACATCTCTGGCTTCCTGTAAATCTAATTATCACTTCATTAGCTGTATTCACATCTCCTTATCCCTCATTGTTTGTGTCAACTGGCTTTACTTTATCCCTATTATCATTGTTTTTACTGCTTTTCACCGGTCCTCTCTGATTCATTGTATATACATGTACTTCTGTGGCTTCCTGTAAATTCTGGTATATATAGTATGTTTTGTATATAGTATGTCTTTATATCACCTGAAGAAGGGGCAAGAAGTAGCCCAGAAACGTCGTGTTATACAATAAAGAAGAAGTTGTCATCCATATACTCGTTTTATATATTCATCAACTTCTAAATGCCTCTCAAGAATCTCAATTTCCTCTTTGGTGCAAACTTAGCCGTCTGCATTTTGAGAAACAGTGACAATCTCAGCAAATCTCTCCAGGGAAACATATCAGCTGCACAGCAGATGGCTTCTGCAACCTTAGCTGTCTTAGAAAGCCCTCATCAGAAACGATGAACACTTCTCTCTCTTCTTTCAAACCAGAAAATCAAAGCCACACAACTTGATGTGCCTGGGCCAGTTCTACCAAGGACGAAAAGGCCCCTCAAGAGAATAGGTGATGCAGCACATCCCCATGTACCCTCAGACAGTAGAGGAGTATTACAGACAAGTGTATTTCACGGCTCTAGATTTGCTCACCAGCAGCATCAGAGACAGGTTTAATGAACCTGGCTATATGCTCTACCAGAACCTGGAGATTGTACTCTTTAATGCTGCTGAAGGAAATGACTACACAACGAATTTGACTTTGTTTCCAAAGTCTATGGATCAGATATTGATAGCTCCGCTTTTGCAACACAGCTGAATATTTTGTCAGTGAATATGTCGAAAAGCAAAGAGTTTGATGTCTCAGATGTGACGGCCCACGTGAAGGCGACAGGTGTCAGTATCTTCACTGAAGTTGTCACTGTTATAAAGCTCATCCAAGTAATGCCCTCAACAAAGTCAACGAGTGAAAGGTCCTTCAGTACCTTTTAGGAGATTGAAGACATATCTGATTTCCACCATGGCCCAAAGGCGTCTGAACAACTTGATGGTCCTTCATGTGCACAGGGACAAAACGGACAACCTCAACCTGAGAGATATAGCAAACGACTTTGTGAGAAGAAGTGAATACAGGTTGTTCACATTTGGAAAATTCTGATGTTTGATGTATGAAAGAATCTGAAAAACATGCTAACCCGTAGTTTAAAATAGTAGTATTTTCTGACACTAAAGTTTACTTTAATACTATCTCTTTCTCTCCCCTCAACCCCCACACCACACCCTGAGCTACCAAAATATTTACTGTAAGAAGATCGTCGTGGGAGATGCTGACGAAATAAAAGAGCAAATGTAATTATGACCAAGGAGTTTCTGTTCAAGCTATTTACCTGAAATTTACCCTGCCCTGACAAATGACCGTGAAGAGTATAAGAGAACACGGGGTTTCATAAACAGCACCATGACTCCGGAGAAAGGCAGTTTCCCATTGCTTTCAGTATTCCGGTGTATAAACATGCAGAACAAGTGGAGAGGCTGCTGCGAGCAGTATGGCGACCCCATAACGTATACTGTATACATGTAGACTCGAAATCTAGTAACATGTTCAAAGCTGCAATAAACTCAATAAGAAAATGCTTTGACAATATGTTATTTCCTCCTAAGCAAGTCAGTGTCCGGTGGGGAACATATACAGTGCTGGAACCAGAGCTACTTTGTATGGAAGCTTTGTGGAAACATAAAACTCTTTGGAAATATTTCATCAACCTAACAGGCCAGGGATTTCCATTGAAAACTAACTATGAATTATACACGGCATTGACGCATATAATGGCACCAACGATATTGGCGGAAGTTATAAAGGGTAAGTCAGATCTCCTTATTTTCTTTTTTATTCCAGTACTACCCCTCAGGCCTGGTACAACGTCAGAAAACAGTAATAGCATACAATCATACAATATTTTCTGTATACAAAAAACATGACGGATATACAAATTTGCGAATATTACTTGTATAATTAGTGTTACTTTAAATTTACATTTATTAAGATATGTATGGTAATATTGCAGTAAAGATTTTGTCCTTAAATCAGTGTAGTAAGAACTAAAAGTCAAAGTGGAACCCCCTTAAATTACATACATGTATTGTGCAAAAATGTAAACAATCCATTTCCTCTTTGCATGCTTATAATATCTGCCCTTCTTGATCATGAGACCATGAGGAGAACATCTGAATCTGCATAGCGAAGGAAGAATTTTCTTAGTTGCAGGTATTGCTCTGTATTTAAAAGGGATTTGATTGTAATGGTAAAAGTGGATTCGGGCGAATATACTAAAGATGTTTGAATGTACATATCTTTTAATCTTTGTGATACGGCATTAAACAATTACCTTGGGAAAGTAGACGTTTGTGACTAAATTAGATCACTAAACCACATTGATTAAGAAGGTGAAACACATGATGTAAATAGCTATTGTATTTGGGGAAGATATTTACATTTCAAATCATAGACTTACAACGTATTGTAAATATTCATTTAACCTGAACCCAGAATGGCAGGCTGACTTTCAGGGTGGATATTCTGCTGTTGACTCAAGCATGTCTTGCTTTGACTGTATTGGTTTTTCCATCACAAGGGGAAATATTTCGATGTAAAACAATGAAGGATTAAGTCATGCTTGCTCCTCATTTAATCCTTGCATTTTAAAACAAATTGAATTAATTGATAAATTTTGATATTGTGTAGATAGTTGATTTTAGTATTGGTAGAGTTTAAGTTGCACTTAATATGGTGATCTACGTTCAGTTGCTGGCAATGTATAATCTGTTTTATATTGTCATGTCCTAATTAGTATCTACTTTTAAGTCGCATGCTAGTTTTAAATCTCTAACTATGATATTCTAGTTCTTTACTGACCTTTGCAGACAGGTGCGTATATAAGCTTTATTTCATGTATACATTTACAAATTTACAACTTTCATAGTCACGATATGGCTGAAATACTGCCGATGTGACTTTAAATCGTAACTCACTCACTCACTCTACTGTTGACAGTGGTTTTACCCCTACATGTACAGTCACTAATCCAAAGATATCTGTCAAAGGTTCGATTCTATTGTTTTTTGTCGATTTCCACAAAGCATTTGATTGTGTGATAGAGACCTTTTATGGTATGTTCTTGCTCAAAATAATATTCCTGGGTAAAATCCTTTCAATAGTGCGTGATATGTAGAAAAAACAAATTTTAGCTCTGTAATTATATATAAAAATAATAGCCGAAGTGGAGATTATATTGTTTTAACGGACTGTGACCTGTGGCCTGTGGTATGGCCTGGGGCGCGGAGGGATACACACACGAGACGGCCCGTGAGACCATCAGTCAGCGCATAGCACGAGCCGCGAGCAGCATGGCGAGTAAGCGAGAGAGCGAAGTGCTCGACATATGGCTCAGAGAAACGGGATTTACTGAAGGTACCATCAATAAGCTGATTAAAGAAGAGTTTTCTGCCCCTGAAGAATTGGCTGAGTTGGAATAAAAGTGACAAAAGAAAGCCTTAACCTCAAGCTCGCTCAAAGTTGTCAAATTTAAATTCAGTAACGCAAACAATCAAAAATACAAATATTTCTCTGTTTGTAATGCCACATCTTCATCGGTTATTCCTTTAAACAGTTTCAGCCCCCTCTCTTTCACCTCCACAAACCATGCTACTGCTTCTTCACCAAGAGCTTCAACGATAACAGAATCAGATTCAAGTCCGACTAATGCTTCCTGATAACGTTTTGGGAGGTCTGTATCTCCAGAAGCTGTTCCTTCCAGAATGGCAGTCTAACTTTATTTATAACACCATCCAATCCAGCGGCTATCATCATTGCCAAAATGAGATAGGGTTGCTAAGGCATGATGGTGGAAGCCTATTTTCTATATATGGGTGTTTTCCGTTTTTCTTTACTCGAAGCATAGCCCCTCGGCCGTCAATTTTCCAATCAGCTGAGGACGGTGCCAATACATGGTTGTGAAGAACCTGATAGGATGTAACATCTGACATGAAACTGCACACACTGTATTTCGATGTTCTTGCAAACCCGCTATCCAGTACCTACCTGGCGAAGTCTGATAGACCGTTTTCTTTGGTGTTCATCGTAGAAAACATTCTCCCCTGAATCCTTCTTTAAGATGGAAAAATTAAAATGCGCCGATGCACCAATTCCTAATTCTGTTTTCTCCGCATGAATGAAACGTCATAGCCTCTCTGATCAGCTATTTCCAGAAGACCTTCCTTAAACTTAAAACCATGTCAGGGCTGTGTATGCCATTCTTGGTTTTAAAACTGCCTCAAATTTTCCTGGCTGTTCTCAACATGAAACCGATCGATATCGACACCTGCAGCTTGCATTTTAACGTCTAGATCCATGAAGAAATGGTTAAATTTATTCAGTATCTTGTTGCTGCAGTATGCGCTTCTTTCATAAACTGGCTTCTTTGTAACTTGATCAAAAAGCATAAACTCCACTTCCACCCCCGAGAGGAGGATGTCATACCCCATCCCATTAAGACGTTCAATTTGTTTTTCTGGCAACATACCTGGGGCATGCGGTTTGGGGAGAAGCATCTAGATCCCAGGTTGTTCGCATATCACCTGTCCAATTCTATGGTCTTCTTGCCCGCCCATCCATGTGACAGGATGCAACGTTTTGTAAATGCTTCAACTGTATATTTCCCAACGTCTGGGGATACTTAGAGGATAGAGGTACAAGTCTACCTGAAGGTACGGGCACGGAGAATACCTGGTGACAATGAGAAAGAGGTTTAATGCATCAAAGCTTAATATAACTGGATTGCTCACGCGAAAGTGAGCACGGCAAAAGTAATACACATAGTGTACGATCACGACCGACTTGGGAGAAAGGGAAGCATGATATCAATCTTTTACGGAAATTATTCAAGGAGTCTGGTCAGACACCCCGATGAAATGACTTAAAAAGACGTTTGAACTATATCATCAGGCGGTAGTGTAGGGTACAAAGTGTTGAAGACAGCGTTGACACAATTTGGTACCAATTAGGAACAACATGTCGAACAGACGACGAATTGTTAGAGCCAATATAGTAAACCTGCCCTGTTCTGGTCTATTTTGCTGCAACCTTTTCGGGACGCTCTACCTTTGTTCAACAAGATGATAGATCAAAATTTACCAATATCATTAATTTTATAAATGTGTAGTATTATTTGATGCCAGTTTTCTTTCAAATTTCTCTTCATGCAGCATTTCTTAATGCAACAAATTCAAACCCTGTCAGATTCCTCAATTTGACTTGTATCGTTAGACACACGTGTAGTTAACCTGACTAGTTCACCATTATTATGACAAGTATCTTTATCAAAGGACTGCGACTTCAAGGAGAAATATTATATAATCACGTCAACTTTTAATTCTGGATACCAAACGCTTTAAGGTGCGACCAGTTCCCCTGACAAAATATGTTTATATTATTCCAAAACTATTTTCGGGGGTACATATTTAATCTTTTTATCCATTTCAGATCATTCAGGAAACATTAACCCTGCTGTCATCGGACTAATCCGACATGTCGCTAAACGCTTGTTCCAACATATTCTGAGGATTTAATCATGTTTTATAGCTATCAATTGAACCTGACTTGAACGGTTTGAGAGGCATGTTTTACGTGTTTAAACCACAGTCATATGGAAAGTATCGTACCTTTGGTATATTCCAATTCCATGTTGAAAAATATTACGTTGCATTCCGGATGGGAAACAAGTTGTCCCCGTGAAGTACCGTTAATATCACACAACACGAAACGAATGAAATCGTAGTGAAGCGTCATCGCCTGTGACATTGTTTAAAGTTAACTTTCTGATGTCTGGCCGACAAATGCAATAGGAACCTACTACGCATGAAACTCTACCTTGACTCACCACTCTTTTCTCCTTATATATACAGCATAAAATTTGGAATAAAAATCAAAGCTCACCCGGACATGGCGGTAATGAAGATGACTCATAAGGGTATATTCCTGACTGCGAGCAGAATCTAAGTTTCGAAAGCCGAATTACTTTTTATCAGTGATTCCGTAAGCGACATATGATTTCTTCCCAAACCCCCAAACCTTTTCCGAACGACTGTTTGATTTGAAAAGTAAAGGATCATTAATACATAAGCCTCTTCTTAATTAGAAGAGCCTATTTTGTCCTTAAAAACTTTTCTTTAAATTGTAACGAGAACTATTAATGAGTATCTGATCATCTTACGATTCGAGGCGGGGGCAGCCTCGTGGTTAAAGGGGCCGCTCGTCACGCGGAAGACCCGGGTTCGATTCCCCACAGGGTTACAATGTTCTGGTAGTCCTCCGCCGTGGGTTTGCTGGAATTTTACTTAAAGCGGCGCAAAACTCAACTCTAAGTAGAGGAATAGGAAAAATGGTATCACTCCATCCTCATCACCAGCTACATGAAACACTGCTGGACACAAACGTGTGCTGATCTTGATCATGACAGCGCTGTTAATACAAACGAATACGGTGTACTTCAATATTGTTTAACTTACATCGTGCATAATTTGCTTAACTGTACGGCTCACGAATACATCCACCTTATGATTCAAAACTCACTCACTCATCTTACGATTCAATGTATCCTTTGGAATTTTGTAAATACAAAATGTATTAACCTGAAAAGGATATAACTAGGGTGCATGTCCTGGGGTTTGCAGAGTTCCACTAGTCAACTGAGCCTTTTTCCTCGTTGGTTGTTATTTGGGCATGAAATTATATTTATGAATCTATTCCGCTCACGTACATCTGCAGCAGATACAATGTATTCAGGTCTTGTCCTTGCGGTATATTCCAAAGGAACATGTTGATGACTGTGCATCATCCCGGTATCCTGTATCTTTGCTATTTGGCTTTGATTAAATAGTTCCAGCAAAACCGGCAATGTTTTGACAAATTCTCATTTTCTCCGTTTGAAAATGAGGGAACATCTCATGCTCTTAGTATTATATCTTAATTCACAATTTACCAAATGTATTCTGCAAAAAAAAAGAAACGCGTAAAAGAGTAATTAGAAATATGTGACGTTATTTTGTTGGTATTTATACAATATGGATACCAAATATGAATTTCTTATGTTTGTATGAATAAAGTAGGGTAAAAATAACAGCGGAAAGTGGGGAAACACAAGAATCAAAACTATGTGGAAGTGGGACGGCCGAACACATCATCATGAATTGAACGTTCAACATGAATTGTTAGGCTATGGAAATAACGGGTTTTCATTTGCCTGTTATCACACTTATGTAGCAAGTGAAAAGTGAAAACATGCCCCGACTGACAGAAGCTTAACATCATCAGTCGACTGCATACAGGCGTCTCGGCTGCGAGCGTTTCTTTCCGCGTATCGCCAAGACCATGATGTTCGAACAGCCGTTATCACACACATTGTAAGAGGTGACTAACGGGATCAGGTGATCAAACTCGCTGACTTGGTTGATACATGTCATCGTATCCCAATTGCGTAGATCGATGCTCATGCTGTTGATCACTGGATTGTCTGGTCCAGACTCGATTATTTACAGACCGCCGCCATATAGCTGGAATATTGCTGAATGCGGCGTAAAACTAAACTCACTCACGTTATCAATCGCAGGGGCCAACATGTGACCTACCCAGATCTGGTCAACCACGTTTCACCTTTGCAGTGCTGGATAGGTTCGACCGCCTCCTCCGTGGTGTAGTGGAATTAGAACGTCCGCCCGGAGAGCGGAAGGTCGCGGATCTCGATCCCCGACCGCGTCATACCAAAAGACCTTTGAAATATGGTACTTGTTGCACTCTGTCTGGCGTTCGGCATTAATGGGTACAACAAGGACTGGTCGGCTCGGAGTCAGTATATAATGTGTCTGAGTGGGGTATCTCGTGCTTCACTGCGGCATGGTATAGTATTACCAGAAATTATTGAGAATTTTAGGAATATGTTTAATTAGATTTCTAGTATAAACAACCTTGACCAGCTATCAAGTGCTTGGTTTCATTCAAGAGACAACTCCGTTAATCCTTTTCATTAGTTTGTGAATAGTTGTCCCCCTTTGTTTACTTGCTAGCAGACGACATTTTCAGCGTGATCCTCAGTATGGATGATTTAGAGAAGAGAAAGTTGTTTTTAGAGTATTATAACAAGGACATCAGATCAGTTAAAGTGATTTCAAATTAGAACAGACATCCCTTTGTCCACTGTTTATCGTGTTTTGAAAAATATTGCAAATGGATATGGCATTGAGCACCAGGGAGGCGCAGGTAGGCCCAGGTAGGCCCAGAAAATTGACTGTCGGTGACAGCAGGCGGCTTGGTATTCTTGTTTCTAAAACAAACGAAGGAGTTTAGAAAACGTAAGGCTGGACATGATTGATAGAGAAACTGTGGCTGTCTGTAAGGAGACAATTAGGAACTGAGCTGCATGCAATGGGTTGGCAGAAAAGTAGAGGAATTCCATCACCGATCATGAAACCTGAAGAAAAGGAGCGAAGGTTGAACTGGTGCTTACAGCATAGAAATTTTAACTGGGACAATGTGATTTTCTCAGATTAAAGTTCCGTGTGGCTGTTTCCTAATACACTGGAAATTCTGGACCAAACAAACTGAAAACCTTGTATCAGCGCCCAAAGTACAGTCCGAAATTTAACGTCCGGGGTGGCATATCTGTGTTAGGGCAACGCCCCTCTGTGTATTTGAAGGAATATGAACAGTGAGCGGTACACAGATATTCTCGAGGGACATTTACTTCAATCTGCTCACGTGTTCTATGAAATGTTTGGATTTTCCAGCAGGACAACGACCCAAAAACATCGTTCAAAGCATTCACAGGCCTGGTTTCGGACCAAAATATGACATTATTAGATTGGCCAAGCTATAGCCCTGACCTAAATCCAATAGAAAATGTTTGGGGACTTATGAAGGAAAGTGTCAACAAGAAAAATCTGACAAATATTGCTGAAATGAAAGAAGAGGTGGTCCGATATTGGGACAGCATGGACCACGACTTTCTAACTTCTTTGATCAGTAGTATGCCCCTCCGTATTGAAGCCTGCATTGCTGCCGATGGTGACTTGACAAAAACTAACTGTTCACCTGTCTTTGAATCTGGAGTTATGTTCTGCTAATATTCACATTTAAATACGTGAGTAATGAGTGAAAAATATATAAAAAATACAATCATTAAATTCTCAATAATTTCTGGTTGTACTGTATCTCAGTGGGCTAGCACTATAAAACCAGCTTAAGTCTGGGCTCGTACAAGCTGCCGCACATACACATACACACGCACGCACGTCGTCATATGAGCCCAGAAATATTCTCAAGCACGACGTTAAACCCAATTTCACCTCACCTCATACAGGTTCGACATTTACATGACTCGTCACGGCCACCACTACGGGCTGGGTTGGATATTTGGTTTACAGCCTACCTTGCTCTAAAATCCACACTTGATAAGACCCACATAACCTAATTAAGATCTGCCCACATAACATAATTAACGAGGTAATTGTTTCCTGAAACAAGAGTGGGAGAGGAAACTTATCAGTGGACGGGAATTACTCTGTTAATTAAGTAATTAGTGTTGTTCTACTGTGAAAACATTCACGTTGGG